AGTTACAGTGAAGTCACTTTCAAGCAACTGCATTGGTTTCATTTACTGGTATCGGTTAACTTTTACCGATACCGATACCAGTATCGTATCAGTATCTGCACCGATACCAGTATCGGTATCGGTGCATCCCTAAATAAAAGCAATTTTTGCTTTTGAGAAATACATTTTAAATGTCTTATTTTTGCTGTGAGTCACAGACTCTGAGCTCAGTTGAAGCAGAGGGAGATGCATTGAAAGAGCCTGAACAGAGAAGGGCACCAGTGGAGTCATTTAACCTGGCTTTAGTGTCCGAGTGCTCTGCTGCTTGTTCTCTAAAGGGAAAAATGTCCTTTTCACTTCTTGTCTGATGGGATTTTTCATTAGTTTTTTCTTGTTGTGTCCTATTGTCCATGTGGAGAGTTAATGTTACTTGGAGGTAGTTCAAATAATTATTTTCTAACGCACATTTTAAAGTTTTAGCCTATTTCCAGTAATTTTTCTAGTCAAGACAAATATACAATTTTTTCCCAAACCCTGTGTTCTGTAGGAATAATGACATTGATGCTGAAATGTGTTGCTTTTATTTTTGATTTTGGTGTGCTTTGTGTTCCCTGTGTGCTGAGTGGACTGACCCAACCCCCCCCCCCCCCCCCCCCCACACACACACACACACACACACACTCGAGTGGGCTGCTTTATTGATATGTCTGCTCCTTGTACATGAGTGGGCTGGTTGGTGCTTCAAGGGGTGGGAAGCGAGGACAATGTACACACTGGAAACCCCCATTGGCCATCAGGGCTTATTTATTTATTTATTTAAAGATATTTATTTAAATAGAGTGTGTGTGTGTGTGTGTGTGGGGGGGGGGGGGGGGTATTTCTGTGTAGCATCTAATGACCTCCAACATATGTCAAACCCGCTTTTTATTCTGTGAAATGAAACGTTACCATAACTCAAAGTTCACTTCTGTTTTTTCAGTTGAAAAGAAGCAGAAAGCCTGGCATTTATTAGCTGATAGTGAATGAAAACACTACAATGGACAACATCAGCAGGAGAACACAAAAAAGCTGCATCTTCCATTAAAGCTCATCCATTTAGTTGTCAGTTTTGTTGTTTAGATTCAGACGCGTTCGTAACGTTTTATATGCCTTTAACCAGCTCACGGGAATACCTGAAATTATATTTAGGTGGATCTGAAATTTGGATCAATCTTTGACTTTTTGCTCCTAATCTCAGGTGCTCTCTGTAATCAGATGGATAAATAACAATTTTTTAAAAACTTTTAAGCTGTATTGAGAATATTGTTTATGTGTGATAGTTAAAAAGTTCAACTTACTTGCTGTACTTCTTGTTGTGAGGGTCTTTGTTGTCATGGTGATCATATTTTTGGATCACCTTCCTGAAGCTGTGGATGTTCTTAAAGCTACAATGGCAAACCTGCAAAACAGAGCTAGGCTGATAGCCGACTGGAGGGGTGAGAGTTCTGTGTTTGTGTTTAAAAACTAGCTTGTTTTGCACATTTGCTATTAAGCCTTTAAGGAGCAAGTCACTGCCAAATCAAAATATTTGTTGCTGATAAACTATATAAATGAGTGTCTAATCTTGCTGTAGACGTGTGTAGTCAATAATTTGGCACTTTAGTGCATCTTAGTTAAAATTTAAATATTCAGCCTAAAACTGTCAGTGTTGTGCCGTTATCAGGTAAAAACTATAAACTGTATTTGAATTTAAATCTGCCATCGCTATTGGGTAATAGGTACACTATGACATTAGCTGGTACATTATGATGTCACAATGTCATTGCGAGCCTGTGTGTGTGTGTATTTGATAGGGATGGGTACCTTTGACATTTGAATCGATTCGGTACTAATTCCCGGTACCTACGAATCGATACCGGTACTTAACGGTACCAATTTTAGATACTTTTGAGTGTTTAATATTTTTAATTCTCTTTTATAATTAAATATATATTTTTCTCAATATATAACCATATTTGTTAAATATCACGATAAATAACATACAACTGTTTGTATTTTAACATCGTCCTTGTAGTTTTATAAGCTGATAATTAAACTGAAGCAAACATCTTTACTGTGAACTAAATTTTCTGTGTATCTTCATTCCTTTTACCGTCCTTTTTCAATTGATTTTTCCTACTGGGAAGTTAGAATTTCCAAGGAGAAAGCGAACGCACCATTAGCTGATAACAACGGTGGCAATGGAAGCTAACATATCAAGCTAACGTTATCTTTAACAGTTTATTTAGCTGCTGGAGCAGATTTAAACGATGATGCCTCACACTTAGATCATTGTCGCTGGTTTCATCTTCACCCAATCACCCGTCGCATTTAGTAAAGTGAAGCCAAACTTTAGAGCGTGTTCATGTTCTTCTAGTCGGAATTTCAGAGTTCTGAGGAGAAAGCGAACGCACCATTAGTGAAACTGAAGCTAACAAATCAAGCTAACGTTATCTTAAACACGTTATCTTTTATTTACCTACCGGAGCTGCTCTGTTTACAACTCGCTCGCAGCGACCGATGACATAACGCTCTTGCGCATGCACAGCTGTCTAGGCAAGTTCTCGTTGTGAAGGACGGGTACCGAAACGAGGCACCGTTTCAAATGAAGTGAATCGGTGCTCGGTTGGTACTGTGGAATTCGGTCGGTACCTTAAAAAGTACCGAATTCGGTACCCATCCCTAGTATTTGATAGCAGCTCCTCCCTGTTGGTCTGCCAGGCAACAGCATTTGTTGTAATTCCATGCTTTCGTTCTTTTTTAAACACAGAAACAGTTTTGTTTACCTGTTTTGTAGCTACAGTTTCGCCGACGGCTGCCGGCTTCTTCAGCAATACAGCAATGTATCTGCATTTGTTGTATTTTTCAAACATGAAGTGGGGGTGGAGTAAGACTCTGGTAGGGGGTGACCTGCTCTTTAAGCTGTATTGTGATTCAGACCAAGTTATGGGCAGATCTTTCTTCTTCTCACCCCCTCATCACACATTTGAAATTTCAGCTGAAGAGTCGGATCTGATGCATCACAGTGTGACCCTGTGGCTTAGAGGGCTGCTGTTGAGCTTTTTCTTTTTAAAGAAATTAAAACAATGTTGCGTTTACTCTGATCTATCATGTTGTTTCCTTATATTACCAAAGTATGAGTATCTCAAAGTATTTTTTTTTAATTCTTTGAATTTACTTATGTATAATTTGACCTAACTGGATAAAAATAATGTCAGACCTTAAAACTGTGTTTTATAATTGGTGCAGAGGAGATGCATCTCTTGCAAGCAACCCTGCCGCAGCCTGCTGTAGCTAGCGCTAACGAGCCAACGCAAGCCAACTGATACTAAAGTAGCCAAAAATTGAAAAGTCCCACAATGCTGGACAAAAAAACTATTATTAGTAAGTCCAGCTGCAACAAAGCCAGGTCACCATCTGTGATTTCATAGGTTTTTAGCTTCTTCAAACTAGTGCAGGCTTCACTGATGTTTACTCTGGTTTTAGATTATTGCTTCATATCCTAAGACATTACTCTCTTACTTTTACTTACAGGTTCCACCATGATGCCAACAACAAACATTTTTTTTCTTCTTGTGCTTTGTATTGACAGTCCGCAAACTGAAAAAGCTAACTTCTAGTAGGGCTGTCACGGTAACCGCAAAAATGAAATATCGCAATATGAAGAAGCCCACCGCGCTGCATCATGGGCCACCGCGATTTCTGAACTTGGTTCAACTCAATGATGCATGTTGAGAAGGATGGCTGCACTGGTATCAAAACGAAACGTTACTTCGCTCCTTTGGGAGCACTTTGGTTTTCAGTACGTCAGCTGCTGCGCAGACAGAGTCCTTGGCCGAGACGGAGCTGCCACCAGCGGCAAAAAAAATAATAATAAACGCTCTGAGACCTGCTGAAGTCCCGGACAAGCACTGCTTGTGCAACCGTCCCGAAGAGTTTGAGCCGAGCTGGAGCTCACTCGCTACCTGCAGGAGGAATGCATCCACCCTAAAGAAACCCCCCTGACATGGTGGAGCAACAACCGGGAGAGATTCCCTTTGCTCGCCAGAGTCGCACGCAAGTACGTGTGCGTTAGTGCAACGAGCGCACCATCCGAGAGGGTTTTCAGTGTTGCTGGAAATGTTGCCACCCCTCTCAGATCCTCTCTCAAACCGTGTATGGTTAACATGCTGGTTTTCCTTGTGGGTAACAAGGACGTGACCGAGCTATAAATCACCGTCATTCGTGTGTGTGAAAGTGAAATGATAGTGCGCCCGCCCCCCCGGCGCGCGCGCGCCCGGTACATGTAATTTTTTATGCTTGATTTTAAACAACTAAACAACATGGGGACTTGTTTCTTATTTGTTAGATGCTGCAGCCAAATTTGCATTTAAAAGTTTAACCTTCTCCTGAATTTTGTTGTTTTTAAGTTCAGTCGGACTCCGACTGTCGGAGAAACAAACGTTACTGCGATCTGTGTTGTTACTGCCCTTTGATCTGCTTTCAGTAAAGTGTTATAAAAGAAGGCACGGCAATTTTTAACCTTTTTTAAATGTGTATTTTTAACCTTTTTTAAATGTGTAAACATTATGTTTAGATAGTACTGCAATAAAAAAAGGGCTGCAATAATATTGCACACCGCAATATTAAGCCACCCTGAATCACCGCAGGGGGAATTCCTCAACCGCGACAGCCCTAACTTCTAGCCTTTATATTAGCTCCCATCCCAGTAAACAGCTATTGCTTGTGTTTCTCCTACCCGCAACACAAAACTTTTGAGTGCAGTTTCTGGTCAGCCGACGGCTACGGAGTCCTGTCCAATGTGAATTGGGACAAGTTTCTGCCTAAAGAATCACCACTTTGAAAGCAATAGCTTGAAGTGTTAAAAGCTCTTTAGTGTTGCTTTTCTCAAAATGAGAAATAATTTAGATTCAGTCATAATTTGGTTTCCATTTTTGAAAGATGAGAAACATTTTTGCTTATTTGGTCTTAAATTTAATGAAATGGTTTTCTTTTCTTTGCAGGAAGTCCATGAAATTCTGAAAGAGTATGAACTGAAGTATTGTTTTGTGGATCGGAACAAAGGAACAGGTAAAACTCATCTAACCAGACATGAATAACACACAAACATGAATAAGTAGCATTTTTATGTGTTTAGCACGTTGTGGTTGTGAAAAGTTGGTTTGGATCCAAAAAACAGAAACTTCTCATTGGCAATCAAATCTGCAGATGCAGATTCTGGTTCTGCACAATTTAACATATGATCACATAAGACTGTAATGTGCTTTTATTGATTTGAAATGAGCCCTCAACATAATTAAAGATGCATTTTAATTGGTATATAAATAGATGAATGCTCTTTTGTCTAATGCCGCTTATTTCAAAGGCCCTTCCATCTCCGTTTTTCCTTGACCTTTCCTTCTATTTGGTCTGGAAACACAAGAAGACACAGACACGTTGACTGGACCCCCTGCCTTTGGAGTATGTCCCTTTCCAGGGAAATCTTCCATGGTGTCTATATTTAGTCCCTGAGGTCAGCCAAGCACCTGAAACAGAACACTTTTAGAAAGTGGTGGGGAGCTGTAAACAGCTGAGGTATCAGAGCAGCAGCTTGTTCTAAACGTTAATGTGGTTTTAGAGCTAAGAGTCTGATGAAACGTGGACCCGTCAGATCATCAACCTTGTTGCTGCTGATGAGAAAGCTGCTCTGGGATTGGTGGAACATGGACGAGTCAGACAACTGTACAGGATGCTAAAGAAAGTTGAGCCTGTTTTGTATTTGCTCCTTCTGCCTCACACTCATGTCCCAATGCATTCATCCTCCTGAAGCAGCCATTTCTTCAGTAATTTGAAAACGGTGTGTTCCTGGTGTCAGTTAATTTGTACTTTGAATTAAGATTGACGTGTTGGGAGACATTCAAATGCACTTTTAAAGCCCTTCAGTTTAAGAAAAATCTTTAAAAAGGATTTCGGATCCGTTTTCCTGCTTAAAGGCACCAGTAAAAATGTCTTCAGCTTTCAGCTGGTTGGTTTCTACAGGACAACAAAACGTCTGTAACGTTTTATTGACATTTTAGTTTCAGAAGGTGGGTTTCATGCATTCAGGGAAAAGAAAGAATGGAGCTATTTTTGGTAGGATGTAACCTGAGAAGATGGTGCGTTTCCTGAGCGCGCGTGTGTGTGTGTGTGTGTGTGTGTGTGTGTACCTGTTTAACTATCCTACTTAAGACCAAAACTGGCATATTCACTAATTGTCTGAAGACCAAAGAGTTTTATTAGGACCAAAACCCGGTCCTAATACAGTGGACCACCTGTTTTAGGCTTAGGGTTGTGTGTGTGTGTGTGCATGCCTGTGTGTGTGTGTTTTAACAGATTTATTTTCCCTTGACTGAGTTCAACCCCTTCCCCGGCTTATCACTGAGAATCTTCAATCTGACCTCAGAGTCTGTAGCTTTACACTTCACGTGTCTGCATTTGCAGACTTACTAAATGTTTCTGCACCTTTTACAGGAGCAAAGTAATTGTTGGTGTGTGAGTTAGGGTTAGGGTGCATGTGCATGACTGTGTGTGTGTGTGTGTGTGTGTGTGTGTGTGTGTGTGTGTGTGTGTGTGTGTGTGTGTGTGTATGTCATGCATGTACATGTGCGTGTCTGTGCATGCATGCATGCATGTGTGTGTGTGTGTGTGTGTGTGTGTGTGTGTGTTTGCTATTATATTAGGTTTCATGGCATCTGCAAAGCATCACCCCAACCAAGTGTTTATATTGTGACTCACACTCTTCTTCCTTTCCTCTCCTCTGACTGTTTCTGTTTCTCAAGCAGCCTAAAACGTGCCTCTAATGATATTAGAAGCTCCCAAAAGATTCTGAGGAAAAACTGAAATTTTCAGCGTTAAATGCAGACCTGCAGCATTGCAGGCAGTAATGTCTAGAATTTGAAACTAACACAAAAAAATGCCACTTTTGCATGTGTTAAAAGTTTTGCTTGCTTCAAACCTTCAACCGTTAATATCTGAATAAAGAAGTTCACTGGAATCCATTTTCAACAAGAATAAAACCAGAAAAAGAGAAATAAAGTTTAAAAACTACAGTTATTTATTAGCCTGGCAAGCCAGACTAAATAAATGTATTATTTAGTGTGGCCATGCTCCATTGACGGCTCTCGGTTGTGGGGCGGGTTCTACCGTTGTCTTTCAAATGATCTCCGCATGCTACTGGACAATGAATGTGACATACTCTTGTTTCACTCTGTTGCATCATCCCACCCACCAGGCATATAGAGTGCCCTGATTGGCCCACAAAGAGGATAAAGCTCTGTGATTTGTTCACTAAGCAGATAGAGCACTATGATTGGCCCACCATTATGGACCAATCACAGCTCTTTATGTGTTTGAAACTCCTCTAGAGAGCTGTGATTGGCTAGCCAGAGTCCTGGTAGGAGCTGCTGAGGTTCCAATGGAGCCTAGACCAAACTTTGCAAAGCAAGAATTTGGTCTAGTTCACTAGGCTAGTTATCTATGGTTATTTTGATTTTCCACTTTAGGCCTAATTCTGCTTGCCAAATTGATCATGCAATCATTTCTCTCTCTTTTGGGTCTTTCTAAAATCAGTCTCAGGGCATTTAGCTGTGTATGATGCATTGGAAAACTGGAAAAATGTTTCCATTTCCTAATGTTTGCATGCAATATGCTAAAGAGTTTATAGAAAATAACCTGTTATCTATATAAATCAACATTAGTTTAGTGAAAATCTTCAGCAAATGTAGGAAATTCCTCCTTTCTAAGATATCCTAATGTTAATATACTTCAAATATATATATATTCTTCATTTTTCTAAGCTGGAGCCGGCATGTTTGAATATTTGCTAAATATCTGAGGTCTGCTCACATAAAAAATTGTTTTAACACAAGTGTAACGTTTTGACTCATTTACTCTGATAATGTACCTTATTTTAATAAATTGGTTTATCAAAAACTGAAATTGCAATAAAGGTGTCAGAAATGAAAAAGGACTAAAGAAGATCAAATGTCCAGGAGAAATAAAGGGAAGGCGTTATGTGAAGCTCAACTTCAACCCTCTGTAACAGCAAGTGGTGATGGTAGGAGAGGCATTGCAACCCGTAATCAATCTCCGCTCATATCGTTGCTGAGCTCTCAGCAGAGAATTATCCATGAATGAGCTTTAGCCAGGCTGAGTAATCTGTTCATCTCTCTTCTCGGATGTTTCTGACTTTAATGTACTCTGCTGCAAGAAAGGAGATGATCAACAAGTCAGAGGGTTCATTTGCCTCTGAGGTTGAATTGGAGAAATGTTAAATATTTTATGTTGTGGGATGGTGTGCCCATTAGTCACTTTTCTCCTCTGATGATGTTTATAATTTCATTCACATTGGGCACACGGGAAGACTTATAACCAAAGAGCAGAAGGATTGAGAGCACTGTTTCTGCCCAGACCCTTTTCAGTGTGACACTCTGAGCGTGATCGCTTTAGTGTGTGTTCTTAAAAAGCAAGTAAGGGTAATACTGTTTTTAATTGGTGATCATTTTAAGGCAGCTATGGAGATATGTTAGCGTTTCCACAGGACCCGGAGACCACATTCATGCCATCGTGGCCAATCCACAGTTGGGTTTAAGTTTAATGAAGCAATCCGTCTTAAAATCCACTCCGATACAGGTGTATATACAGCGTCTGTGGAATCATGGTCACATTCTGGCTTGGTTTTTGAGAGCTGCTGGAGATAAAATCCAAAGCACTTCTGCTAGGAATGCACATTTACCAAAATGTCTTTAACCGGCTATTGACGCCCAGCGCAGCGAAAGGCCTTGAAGCAGTTAACCGGGAGAAACTAGTTTACTCGGTTAAAACATTAAAGAGTAACTAAACCCCAAAATAACTTTTTTTTTTTTTGCTAATTAACTGTATAATTGGGTCTTTACAAATGCAGTCTTTCTGTTTGTGTATTTTTGACATGTTTGTGTAAACTTGATAAAATCTAGAATCTAGGTCTAAAAACGTCTTAGTGCTGCCCCCGTGGCAGAACGGCAGCTAATCCATTTTAAATTTGTGATTGACTGGAGCTGGTACAATTTTACATCATCGGTACAGTCTCCTCCCACTCCCCCTCCCTCCCAGGTTGGAAATTCCCCACACTTGGCCATGCCACTCTGTGCCGTCTGGCAACGCCCACTTTCATAGCATTTTTCAGATTGTGACTAGGGGTGGAGTTACATTTTCTGATGGTGTGCAGTCCCTCTTGAACGACAATTAACCATTTAACTATGTACATCCCTAATTTCTGCCAATTCCTTAGGAAGACTTGACAGGGATCCTGTTCCTCTTGCAAACAAAACCCCATTTTTTGGGTTCTAGGCATTATTTAAAGTGCAGACTAAACTCTCCCCTAGCTACACAGAGAGACTGGGCGTTAGTAATTACAGTCCAGGGGAGGGGGGATCTGGATTAGAGACTACCTGGATGGGGAGAAAACCCCACCCAGGCTTCTGCAGCCGCTGCGTAGACCAGCTGGGATTTGCAGCTGAGACAGGAAAATGTATGCATGAAACCACAAATCATGTTGGAAGTTGCTTGTGGTTACAGCAATGTGGTCAAAAGATACAAAAAGAGTATTTTGCTTGAAATGCTACTTTTAATAAAGTAGTTAATTTGTGCAAGAATCAAAAATTGGCATCATCCCTGAAACTGACATTAGTGAATCTCTAACAAAAATGTTTTTGTCTGTCTTTCTCCATTTGGTAACATGTAAAATTTGTGGAATAATCAACAATATTTTGGGAACTCCAGGTTAGAGTAGAAGTTGCTTCAAACATACCTAATTGGTCATATTTTCTAAATAATATATATATATGTTTTACTTTGAGTTAAATACATGAGCTTAAAAGTTAAATTGACACGAAGCAGAGAGGACCCCCCCCCACCCCCCCACCCCCACCACCACCACCACACACACCCCACACACAGAGGTTTCTTCAGGTCACCTGCTGCATGTAGTGGTTTTTCATTATCGTCCAACACCAGTTGTGGTATTTAAGGACCTCATAGAGGTCAAATGCTGCTGTCAAGCAGGTATGGATCAA